GAATGACGAATGAGAATGAAGAATGAGAATGAAGAATTCCTTGTCCTCCTCATTCTCTAAGAATGAGGAATATGAATGACGAATGAGAATGACGAATGAAAATGAAGAATGATAATGAAGACTGAGAATGAGGAGGACGAGGAATTCTTCATTCTCATTCTTCATTCAAATTCATCATTCATTCTTCATTCTCATTCGTCATTCTCATTCGTCATTCTCATTCTTCATTCTCAGTCATTATTTTCATTATTCATTCTCATTGTTCATTCTCAGTCTTCATTCTCATTTTTCATTCTCATTCTTCATATTCATTCTTCATTTTCATTCGTCAATTCATATTCTTCATTCTCATTCATCATTCTCATTCGTCATTCACATTATTCATTCTCAGTCATCATTCTTCAATCTCATTCTGAATGAAGAATAAGAATGAAGAATGAGAATGTTGAATGAGAATGAAGAACGAAGAATAAGAATGAGGATTGAGAATGACGAATGAGAATGAAGAATGAAAATGAAGAATGAGAATGAAGACTGAGAATCATTCTCATTCTTTATTCTATTTCTTCAGTCTCAGTCATCATTCTCATTCTTCAATCTCATTCTGAATGAAGAATAAGAATGTTGAATGAGCATGAAGAATGAAGAATAAGAATGAGGAATATGAATGACGAATGAGAATGACGAAATAGAATGAAGACTGAGAGTGATGACTGAAAATGAAGACTAAAAAAAAAGAATGAGGAGGATTAGGATGAGAATGAGGTGAGAATGAGGATGAGGATTCTCATTCTTCATAATTATTCTCATTCGTCATTCTCTATCCTCATTCTTATGTTCTTCATTCTCATATTCATTCTTCATTCTTATTCTTCATTTAGAATGAGATTGAAGAATGATAATAATGACTGAGAATGAAGAATGAGAATAACGAATGAGAATGATGAATGAGAAAACGAATGAGAATGAAAAATAAGAATGATGAATTTGAATGAAGAATGAGAATGAAGAATCCTCATCCTCCTCATTCTCATCGATTCATATTCCTCATTCTTATTCTTCGAGATCTCATTCTTCGTTCTTATTCTTCATTCAGAATGAGAATGAAGAAATAGAATGAAGAATGATAATGACGAATAAGAATGAAGAATGAGAATGACGAATGAGAATGAAGAATAAAATTAAGAATGAGAATGAAGAATGAGAATAGTGACTGAGAATGAAGAATGAGAATGAAGAATGAGAATGAAGACTGAGAATGATGACTGAAAATGAAGACTAAGAAAAAAGAATGAGGAGGATGAGGATGAGAATGAGGTGAGAATGAGGATGACACTGAATAATGAGAATGAGAATGAAGAATAAGAATGAAGAATAACAATGAAGAATGAAAATCATCCTCATCCTCATCATTCTCATTTCTCAGTCTTCATTCTTCAGTCTCATCCTCATACACATCTTCATCTTCATCCTCCTCATTCTCATTCTTCATTCGCATCCAACATTCTCATTTCTCAATCTCATCCTCACTTTCATTCTTCACTCTCATTCCTCATTCTCAAATGAGGAATGAGAGTGAAGAATGTTGGATGCGAATGAAGAATAAAGAACTCATTCCTCATTCTTCATTCGCATCCAACATTCTCATTCTTCAATCTCATTCTGCATTGTTATTCTTCATTCTCATTCTCATTATTCAGTCTCATCCTCATTGAGAATGAGGATGAGACTGAATAATTCATTCTCACCTCATTCTCATCCTCATCCTCCTCATTCTTTTTTCTTAGTCTTCATTTTCAGTCATCATTCTCATTCGTCATTCATATTCCTCATTCTTATTCTTCGTTCTTCATTCTCAATCAACATTCTCATTCTTCATTCTTATCCTTAATTCAGAATGAGATTGAAGAATAAGAATGAAGAATGCGAATGACGATTGAGAATGAAGAATGAGAATGACGAATGAGAATGAAGACTGAGAATGAAGAATGAGAATGAAGAACGAAGAATAAGAATGAGGAATGAGAATGAAGAGAATGATCATTCTCATTCTTCATTCTTATTCTTCATTCTCATTCTTCATTCTTATTCATCATTCGCAGCCTTCATTCTCAGTCTTCATTCTCATTCTTCATTCTCATTCTTCAGTCTCATCCTCATTCATATCTTCATCCTCATCCTCCTCATTCTTCATTCTCGTTCTTCATTTTCATTCTTCATTCTCATTCGTCATTCTCAGTCTTCATTCTCATTCTCATTCTTCATTTTTAGATAAGTTTTCATTCGATTTAGATCATTATCTCTAATACCATAATGTTCGAACTCTTACAAGTGTTTTATGATCTACGCAATCAAACGCCTTCGATAAGTCACAAAAAACGTCGAGAGATCCTGTGAGTTCTCCCATGATTTGAATATATGTGTAATAAGCGCTACACCTGCATCAGTAGTAGACTTGCCGGCAGTGAAACCATATTGCTGACTGTGAAGCAGTCCGTTATCCCTGAAGTATTTTATCATTTGATTAAACACAATGTTTTCAAATACTTTACTTAGAACTGGCAAAATAAAAATTGGTCTATAGTTGCCTAGCTCAAATCTATCTCCTGATTTCATTAAGGGGGTCTTCCTATGTGACGGCCTGTTTTTTAGGGATATTTTAGGATTTTTTTTCTACGACCAGTAAATATTTAGAGCTTCAAGTTTTTTATCATTTATTAACACATATTTGGACAGTATAAATATAAAATTTCAGCTAAAAATATTCAGTCTTCATCTGAACACCCCCGCCTCACTTCCTTCACGATTCCGGCTGATCGGCTTATCTGAAAAAAAAAAAAAACGGCGTTTTAATTTGTAGACCTATAATCAAATGAATATAAAAAAAATTGGATTTTTGATAGACATTTGAAATAAAAGTTGCAAATTAGGCGTTTTTTTTTTTTGTTTTTTGGTATAAAAAAATCGAAGTTTTGAAAATTTTCGTTTGATAATAGTTCATTCCTTGCATTTACATATATTGAGTGTGCCCTGTAAATTTCAAGTAATTCGGTCCAGCCGTTTCTGAGATACAATGGAGGAAAGTTTGAAAAACACAGTTTTGAGAAAAACGCGTTTAAAGTTTCAAGTCCGTTAAAAACTATTAAAATATCAACTTACTCTCAATCGGCGATGCCTGGTCCATAGAGTATTCCTTCCTCTTCCTCGTGAAACTCTTTTAAAGCAGATTGTTCAGCTCTTGAGTCAATCCTGGATTTAACGACATCATTACGCGCCGCTCTAAGATTCGCTTTTCATAATGTCTCAACATACTTGGGCTTCACGACCAACAGGGCATCCCATAATCGACATAACTTTTAAAATATATGAAAACCTTCATTAAAGATAATAACTGCTAAGTAGCTAGCAATTTCAACAACTTTGGGACCAGAATGAAGATGTTTAGGAGCGAAAGTCCAAATCAAAGAATTCAAAGATTCGTTATTGTTTTGTGTCTCTGCTCCTAAACAACGAATTAATAATTCGTCTTTCGATAAACCATATTGCTGACTGTAGAGGTGGTTTATCGTGATGAAATTGGTCCAGTTCAGCTTCAGCCGCCATTTACACCAACTGTTTCTTTTTTTACTACGACCAGGATGAACATTTTAACATTTGATTAAACTAAAACAATGTAAAATTTTCAAATTTCTGTTTAAGTCTGTAGAAACGTGTCTAAACTTGTATAAACAAATATATTAATAAAAAAAATAAAGCCGTCTATAGTTGCCAACTCAGCTCGAATCTATCTCCTGATTTAAAACGACTTGGAATTAAAATTTTACTACCGTATTCTAGAATTTCAATTTATGAAAAAAAAAAAATCGATTTTTTCAACCCATCACATAGGAAGACCCCCTTAATTGAAGAAACACGCCATTATCAACACATTTATTGAAAATAGTAGCTAGATAAGGAGCAATAATATCTATGAATGAACTAACTACTTTAACTGACATGCCCCAGAGATCTTTCCTATTTTTTGAATTTAACTGTTTGAATATTTTTATTATATGAAAAGGGCTGACATGTGAAAATTTAAATGTTAAAGAGCAAGGGCTGACATTAGCCTCCAGTAATGTTTTTGCTCGAATTGGAGATTGAGTCTAGAGAAAATGTAATATCAATCGGAATATTAGCAAAAAATCTTGGAAAATATGAACTATATCTTTTGTTGTTATTAACATATTGTCATAATTTAATGAGAATTGATTGCAGGCTTTTTCGGACCTTCCAGTTTCTTTGTTTATAATTCCCCAGATGGTCTTAATTTTGTCAGAAGACTGATTAATTTGTTTATTTATATAATTAGATTTATCTGCAATACAAACTTGTTTGAAAAATTTTAATAATTTCTCACATAAGTCGTAAATTTGTCATCAAATCTATATTTTTTTTGATCATATAAATCAAATAAAATGTTTCTACTTTTAAGTATTCCCACTGTTGCCCATTCTGTAAATTTAGATTTAACACAATATTCTTTTTTCATGAAAATATTCTGTTAATATAATAAAAAATATTCTTTTGACAAAAGACTAATTAACTTGGTGTAAAGAACTACACCAAGTACTATCGCCCGTGACACGGTCTCGGCAATGGAATGTTATGATGTACTGTATATATTTGTATAATAATCATTTCACATCATTACGTCTTTTCATGACAACTGGCCGCTTACACACATTCCATATTTCACCTATAAAATATTCTCACTTGCCTTATACAGCTCTGTTCCATATATATATATATTTTCTTCAAGATAATTTATTGTTAATATTATATTCTTTTCAATACACTAATTATTAGTTGAGGGTCTATTTTATTTGTATATTTATTCTTACCGACCCCACAAGCATTACGCTACGAACAATAGAAACAGAGCAGCAATGTGAAAATATTGCAAAATGGAGGAAAATGTGACACATACGAATAGTCGAGTCAGCTAGTAAAAAATGAAATAGATTTTTATATACTTTATTTTATTTTTTTATACAAAAATTGTAAACAATCAGTTCCGTTTGTCTATTTATTGCAATTATTTGTCGTGGCTCGATCTTGAGTCTAAATCGCTAACGGTGTCGCGTTGTTCGTGCATCTCCAACTCGAAGTCATCAACCGCCATTGGGGTATCTGTAATACATAACATGTTTTAGAAATTACTTAAAAGGTGGTGTCAGTGTTGCCAGGTTTCTTTTTTCCAAATTTTCTTTAAAATTTAGAGTTGGAAGAAAAATCACAAAAATGGGAGATAAATTTTCAATCTGCCATTACTGAGTGCGGAGGCGACCTAATTTGGTTGGGTGATGACCTAGCGTGGTGATGTTGAGGTTTCAATTGACTTCTATGTAGTAAATTCATTTTATTTTGATACAAATAAATCGATCATTCAAGTGTCATGTGTGTCACGTGAGTGTTGGGGGCGGGGTTGTCTATATAATACGTGGTTACGCGAGTCACGCTAGCACGGCGGGCGTTGTCATTTATGTATCACGTGCACACGTGTGTTACGACGTCACGCGAGCGCGGCGGACAGACATGCCACGCAGGTAGGCGGCCGAGTCTAGGACTCTGCATTGAGTGACGCGGCGCCGGCACGCGGGCGGCCATGCCGCGCAGGTGACGGCCGGGACCCTACACTGACCGAGGTGCGCGAGCGTGACGCCGGTGGCGCGGCGCAGCGCGGCCCGGGTGGCGAGCGCGGCGGGCGGCACGCGGGCGGCCATGCCGCGCAGGTGACGGCCGGGACCCTACACTGACCGAGGTGCGCGAGCGTGACGCCGGTGGCGCGGCGCAGCGCGGCCCGGGTGGCGAGCGCGGCGGGCGGCACGCGGGCGGCCATGCCGCGCAGGTGACGGCCGGGACCCTACACTGACCGAGGTGCGCGAGCGTGACGCCGGTGGCGCGGCGCAGGCGCGGCGGCAGCGGGCGGCCATGCCGCGCAGGTGACGGCGACCCTACACTGACCGAGCGCGGCGCGGCGGCGAGCGCGGCGGGCGGCACGCGGGCGGCCATGCCGCGCAGGTGACGGCCGGGACCCTACACTGACCGAGGTGCGCGAGCGTGACGCCGGTGGCGCGGCGCAGCGCGGCCCGGGTCGCGAGCGCGGCGGGCGGCACGCGGGCGGCCATGCCGCGCAGGTGACGGCCGGGACCCTACACTGACCGAGGTGCGCGAGCGTGACGCCGGTGGCGCGGCGCAGCGCGGCCCGGGTCGCGAGCGCGGCGGGCGGCACGCGGGCGGCCATGCCGCGCAGGTGACGGCCGGGACCCTACACTGACCGAGGTGCGCGAGCGTGACGCCGGTGGCGCGGCGCAGCGCGGCCCGGGTGGCGAGCGCGGCGGGCGGCACGCGGGCGGCCATGCCGCGCAGGTGACGGCCGGGACCCTACACTGACCGAGGTGCGCGAGCGTGACGCCGGTGGCGCGGCGCGCGCGGCCGGGTCGCGAGCGCGGCGGGCGGCACGCGGGCGGCCGACCGAGGTGCGCGAGCGTGACGCGGTGGCACACCAGCGAACGTTGTTGGCGAGCGCGGCGGGTCATCGGGCGACCATCGGAAGTGAAAACGATACATAGACCGAGGTGCGCGAGCTGACGCCGGTGGCGCGGCGCAGCGATGTAAATCTATTCGTGAAAATTGTAATAAGCGCAAGGGCGTTACCTGTCTCTCTGACGGCCTTCTCCACACTTGACCAGCGAGTTCGTGACGTGTGCTTGCAGCGCGGCCGGTGATGCGAGCGCGGCGGGCGGTAGTCATGCCTGCAGGTGACGGCCGGGACTATGTCCTCTTCCACGTCGTTCGGCGCAAGTCCACATCGAGCGCAGCTCGGACAACGGCGGCCATGCCGCGCATGACGGCCGGGACTTTAGTTTTAGATATGTCCTGGCGCGGCGCAGTTTATACTGGCGAGCGCGTTGGGGAAACGGGACCAAAGCCGTCATTACCGATTCTCACAACAATAAATAAGTTTATGTGCTATTCTGATGTATAAACTACTACCACTTCATGCCGTTTATAAAATAGAAACCAAATAATTACGTTTTCTTCTTTGGGCGATGCAGCTTCTGATTGTTGTTTCCTATCAGGTGAAACATTGACCGAGGTGCGCGATGTCGTAGAAGAGATTCCACGGTGAGCGCTGCTGCAAAACGCAGCATCCGCGCTCAGGCGGCCTGGCCCGTCTCTGATCCGGCGCTGTAGATGACAATGAGAATGACAGTCTTTGTTCAAAACGTTATTATATAGATATATAGACAGTAAAACTGCTTATTGGCTAGTACCGAAAAATACACAAAAGGTAATAAGTCAAGTAGTGACGTCTCTCTGCTCCTTCTCCATGGAATATTAATGTTGGTCTCGAACCGGCGACCATTGCTGAATAAAACTATGTTCAAGTTTCCACGTCGTTCAGGAAGTCCACATCGATGCCCAGTTCGGACAACGAGCGCAGCTGCTCTATGTCCACTTTAGTTTTAGATATGTCCTGAAAAGGGTTAGTTTATACTTAGAAAAGTTGAAAACGGGACCAAAGCTTAAGTCATTACCGAATTCTCACAAAATCTGCAACATACAACAATAAATAAATTTATGTGTTATTCTGATGTATAAACTACTACCACTTCAAGTTTATAAAATAGAAACCAAATAATTACGTTTTCTTCTTTGGGCGATGCAGCTTCTGATTGTTGTTTTCTATCAGGAAACATTGCTTCCATGTCGTAGAAGAGATTCCACGGTGAGTCTGCCGCAAAACGCAACATCTCCTCATTGCCCTGGCCCGTCTCTGATGCTGTAGATGACAATGAGAATGAAAAATTCTTTGTTCAAAAGTATTATATAGATAGATAGACAGAACTTTTATTGGCGTAAAAGTATACACAAAAGGTCATACAGTGTGACGGCCTCCATGGAATATTAATATTAGTATCGAAGCAGCGACCATTGGAATAAAGCGATGTTCAAGTGTTCAACAGCTAATCCACCAAGGCAGTCAGGTAGGACGATCTCTATGTACAAACATTTGAATTTTACGAGCATAAATATTTGTATGTACGAGGAATTGAACCCGCAACCATCAGATGCAAAACGGTTTGCCAAACCGCTAGTTAGTGTACTTACGTAAAGTGTGGTATAAGAGATGCGACTCCTCCTTGGTGAGCGTTCGAAGGTTTGTCGTAGGAGGGCTTTTAGTAAATGAACGGACCGTAGTTTTGTTCACACCCTTGGACATTTCAATAAATAATCTTGAATGAATGAATGAAAGTATTATCATTGTATCATACACATTGTTGATATACCGTATTTAAGGCTGTCTGTGAGAGATTGCTGCAAACGATAAGACCAAAGTTAATAATGTTATATTAATATCTTATATATAAAATTCTCGTGTCACAGTTTTCGTTCCCATACTCCTCCGAAACGGCTTGACCGATTCTCATGAATATTTGTGAGCGTATTGAGTAGGTCTGAGAATTGGCCAACATCTATTTTTCATCCCCCTAAATGTTAGGGGTAGTCCACCCCTATTTTTTTTTATTTTAAGACAAAACAACGTGTGGTATAGTGATGCAAATCAGCACGTTCAGTAAAAGATTGTGCGAGTGTACGTTTTGTATAACGACACGTAGGTCACGCAGTACCTCATATATATAGTTTATGTAATTAGTGTAAGCTAGAGTAATTCAAGATGTAACAGTTAATATACAAGTTACACCCTACTGTGTGTGTTTACTCTCACCACCGCTCCTGTCATCACAAACGTTTGCCGGGACAGCTAGTTATTTAATAACTTTTATCCAAGGCCAGTATTATCTCTCAATTTTGAAAAACTATTAAAAAAATTTTCAATGTATACTTGCATATTACTTTATTCAATTATATAAAAAAATCTATATATTAATACGTTAAGCAAAAACTTTTTAAACCTTGTCTTTAATAGTCGTACTGAACGTTAAATTTATTATGGTCAAATGTCGACCACTGTGTGACCAAACGAGATGCATCTTATTTTTTTCTCTCCATTTCCATTTGATATTCATTTTAAATTCTTTCTTTATGACATGCTCTTTGCTTTATTATTTATTATTGTTATTTTTTTTTTATATATATTATATATCTCCCTTTGATGGGGTGTTAAACTTATCATTGCGGTTGAATATCACCAAACAATGACAATTATAAAAGAAATGATTACGATGAGAAAAATTTGCGGAATATTCTACAGGTGTTTAGAATTACTGCTTTTTGGAGAAGTATGAAAGTAAGTGGGTGAAGCTGTAATATTCTGAGGCTAGAGTGTAAGGATTTTGGAATTATTATTATTATTATTATTTTATATAACACAGGGGACAAACGAGCAAGCGGCTCACCTGATGGTAAGTGATTACCGCCGCCCATGAGCACCCGCAACACCAGGGGAATTGCAAGTACGTTGTCGGCCTTTTAAAAAGGAATAAGCTCTTTTCTTGAAGGTTTCAATATCGTATCGGTTCGGAAATACCATTGCTGGAAGGTGATTCCACAACGTGGTTGTGCGTGGCAAAAAGTTTCTAGAAAACCGCACTGTGGAGGACCACCACTCATCCAGATGGTATGGTATGGTATTTTGGTTTCTGGCGGGTGGTACGGTGGTGAAACTCAGCAGCTGGTATTAATCCGAACAATTCCTCAGAACACTCCCCGTGATATATGCGGTAGAAAATGCACAGAATTGCAATATCTCGCCGCAAAGCCAATGGGTCGAGTCTGTCACATAGACGTCGATTACCAATGAATCTGGCTGTTCGGTTCTGAATGCGGTCAAATGGATGTAGCTGGTATTGTGGTGCTCCCGCCCAGAGACGAGAACAGTATTCCATATGCGGCCGGGTCCTTGTATAATGATGTATCAGTTACTTTTAAAACTAAACTATGTCTGATTAGCTGTTCACCCTCGAGAAATTTACAGTCTATCTGATATTCTGATGTATAACCTATTATTATTGTAAACTTTTGTAAAAATCCATTTAGTAGTTTTTGCGTGAAAGAGTGACAAATATGTATCTAACAGTTGGAACCTGAAATGTTATATGTGGTACTAACTATGCAATGAGCCGGTGCCCTGCGTCAGCTTTCCGATGTACCGGCCCAGGGTGAGGGGCTTCTCCTCAGCAGTCGCGTCCACCGTGTGGGTGACCAGGCACAGTGTCGTTTTACCCTCAGAGTCCATACGTGGGAATGCTGAAATTAGTTTAAAAAGGCATTAGAAGTGTTTTAGAAAGATAACAAAAACAGACTAGATGGTCTAGTGATTTAGCACTTACACACCGCCATACTTCCGATGGTGGGCGGTTCGTTTCCTGGGCTGCAATTAATTAAAATAGTGTTTTAGAAAGATAACCAAAACATAGACTCGGGGTGTAGTGGTTTAGCACACCGCCTTACTTCCGATGGTCGCTGGTTCGATTCCTCGCACGGTACAAACATTTGTATTCATGAGTATGATTGTTTGTATCGGTCTGGTTTTCTATGTATATATAAAAAAATGTATCTAAGTATTTATATCAGTTGTCTAGTACCCTATTAGCTGTTAATCTAACTGGGTGAATTGTTCAGGATTATTATTATTTTTATTTATTTATATAACTTTAATGCACACAGTACAAAAGTACAGTACATTTGGCGGACTTAACACCATGCGGTATTTTCTACCAGTCAACCATAGGCAGTGCAGAGAAAAATTGTTGGCGGTGCAAAAATAATCATAACAAAAAAATCAAGGCATAAAAAGTGATATAGTAATATTTATACTATTACATTTATAATAATACATAAATATATACATATACATAGAAGGAATATATAATATGATATACAAATACATACTTATACACAATACATACACAACTATATGAATACATACCAAACCAATCTGACAGTTAAACAACAGAGAGTAAAAAGAAAAATATAAGGTAAAGAGAAACAAGAGAAAAATAAAAAATAAACAAACTTACGAATTCAGATAGGGTACTGGCACCAGTAGTCAGCCTTTTAGTGGTAAGTCTGGGTTCAAACTTATATAAGAAAATATTAGAAAGAGTAAATTGAAAGTCTTTTGTATAATTTAACTTACTTATTTATTAAACTTTGTTACAAAATTAACAAAAATTACAAATTTATCCTTTAATAAAGTGAAAAATACTTTTTAACAAAATAAGGCACTTTTCACCAGTGCTCAGCCGCCAAAAACTAGTTCATAACCAGTGGTCAGCCTCTCTTAAGATCAATAGTTTCAATTAAAGATTAAGAACATTAATAAATAATTAGTCCGGTCATAGAACCTAAAAGGACTTAACTGTGCCCTAACAATCACAACAATCAAATACCTATCTAACTTATATTTAAATCAGTCGGAAACTTCTTTAGTAACATCAGTATTTAAAAAGATTTCAAGTTCTTCTTCTTTCTAACATGCGATTAACAATTTTTTTGGAGCTTATCTTCCTTACAGGTCCTTCTCCTTCTGTGTCAGGAGTTTCAGGATATAGAAGTATATTACTGAGAATTTTAATTTTATTTTGTTTTGAAATCCAATAAATCACACTCTGTCTTTGTGCATTTTACGCTCAATTCCTAATTATAATCATAATTTTTCTTCTTTATAGTCTCCTTCACTTTACTTTTGGTAGAATCTAGACTGCTTTTTTTTCTTTTTTTGTATAAAAAACTATATAAAAAACAATTTAAATATGGACGGTTGAACACTGGGTCTACTGTCACCAGTACTCAGCCATGCAACAAACTCTAACTATTTAAGTGGTGTATTGGGTTTTTGACAAACAGCGTTAAAACCAGTAGTCAACCAGGGGTGGTTGATATATATATATAAAAATGGGACCCAGTAGTCGGCCACTTCATTATTTAATAATTCATTAAGAAAAACATGATACTTTTCATTGATTACAATGCCAAAACTATTAATTAATGTAAATTTTAATACAATGTGGCCTAAAATTAACAAAATAATGAAATAAATTACCGTTTCTGTGAACGCTTTCACTAATAAAAAAATGGCGCGCAAATCGCCTCGTCAGCCGATGACGTCGAAATAGATTCATATTTAATTCGCAGCCACGTAGCTATTATATTGGATTTAATTATAGCAATATATTCATAGAAGCTATTTAAAATAATTTGATTAGGTATTTTCTATTATAGCGCTATTCCTATTGGTTTTAAACCGAAAAAGGCTGAGTACTGGTGCGGGGCCGACTACTAGTGCCAGTACCCTACTAGTCCCACAGTTTACGTTTAAAATAAAATCTACTCGTGGCGGTCTTGATATTAAGGGGTAAGTCATTCCACAGTTTAATAGCCTGAACGGCGAAGTAATAGTGGACGAAAGCAGAGATGAGCTGGGATATGAAGTAAGAATTTTCGAGTTGAACGAATATTGGTGTTGTCCCAAAGGAAATTAAATCATTTATTATCTTCATTTAAGAAGCTTTGAACACGTTTAAAAGTTTTAATCGCGTTCAGTTCGAACTAAACGCGACCAGTTTCTTTGGTGCAATCCAACCTAAGTCGTTTCAAACTTTCAGTGTCAGCTCACCTTTCTTGGCAAGTCTGCGCCGGTGCTGCTCCCTGGCGGCCTCCATCTGTATCTTCACGCTATCCCCTGAGTCTTGACGATCCTGTCCATCCGACGCCACTTCCGCCTCCGACCCTCCACTCTTGAGAGGACTGCTGCGTTTTAACACCTTGTGCTGTTGACATAAAGTACAATTTCGCTTCACTTTGAATTAGTAACCTCAGTGGGCGGGAAGGTTTATGAGCTATTCATAAATCAACATATTAACATAATTTCAATTAAAGAATAAAACTATTGTGTCTATGGTTACTTGTCTATGATTATGTATAGCTCAAAAACCCAAATCCAGGCAATTCACACATGCACTATGGGAAAACGTGACGCGGCTCCCTCGTTTTTTTTATGTATAAATCCACAAAACAACACTCATACCTCGTAAAGCAAAATGAAACCACTAGTTTTACTAAATACAGACACTACGGTATTCCTAAGTGTAAAATATTGCAAATTATCACCTTTCGGCCGTACGTCCGAAGTTGCTGCGTTGCAAAAAGTGTGTATTTAATGTTTTAGTAAAAATAGTAATGCAAAATATATATAACAAAATGAGGGTAGTTCAATTATTTTTAGCAACAACTTATGCTGCACTTTATAAATCTGTCATCTTGTACATTAACAATTATTTACATTTATAACAGTAAATATTATGAAGTTAATAATAATAATATTAATAGATATATTAATGTATTTAACAATATATATTCATATGATTAAAACATTGTCAGATTAATCGTAAAAAATATATAATTAAATAATTTTGTTTTTTTTAAATAATCATAGGTAAAATACAAGATACATTTATTTTTTATTAAAAAAATTAATCAGTTGATCTGACATAATAAAGAAAAATGGATAAATTGGTTTTGTTTTATTATATACCCTATAATAAGAAGATTCTTCCCAAATGTTAAAGGGTACTGGAATAATAATTAAAATACCATTTTCTTATATTTCAATAGAAATGAATGAAATACATTTTTTTATAAGATTATGTATGTATATTTAGAGGTCCAAGACTTACTTGAACTTCTAAATATAAATATATGAATGGAATATATTTTAGGCGACCTAGCAAGAAAATTTCAATACATTCTGACAATAATAAATTTATTTCAACAAATAAAATAAAGAACAATGGCCATTTACACTTTGATTTCCAATATATGCTAAAATGTTCAGACATATAATTTGGACACAATTTTGTGAAATGTAAGAATAATAATAACCCTGGACAATTTACACAGCGCCATCTAGTCCAAAGGTAAGCAGAGCTTGTGTTATGGGTACTAGGAATATTTTTTTTTATTATTTTTTATCATTCATTACTTTTAATTTGGATAATGGCCATTGTTCTTCTAATACACCAAATATATATAATATAAAAAAATAAAACAAAGTACCAGACAACCACACCAATTGCCTGGACATTTTAAGATAACATACACTATGATATAGACAAAATTTTGATAATACATTATAATAATGATGATAATTTTCACAAAACTGTCAACCAATTTGAGAATTTCACTAGACTCGTCGTAGAGGAAAATCGTATTCACGATTTTGAAGAGAAATTCGACCGACAAGATGGTCGCTCTTAAATTATGAAGGAACTAGCTGTACATTATTTCAATTATTAACCGGGTCTTAACACGAATAATTTTATGGCAAATAAAGGTATTTACCAATAGTCAATAAGTGTACGGATACCGTGAGTGCTGTGTGTCGCGAACTTTCGTTAAACAATCTAGTGACGGTAGATGAAGAAAAAACTGCTGTCACCTATCTACATTGACATCGCTGTTACTCCAGTCAGCTCGTGACCACGGCTAGTGCAACCTAGTCGAAACGTCCAGAGAGGTAAATACCTTTATTTGCCATAAAATTATTCGTGTTAAGACCCGGTTAATAATTTAAATAATGTATATTAAACACGAAAGTTTAAAAGGAACTAGCTGTGCCAGCGATTTCATCCGCGTGAATTTTATAGCCCACATATTATTCTGATGTATGAGCTATATCACTGTAAAGTTTCAACAAAATCCGTTCAGTAGTTTCTGCGTGAAAGAGTAACAAACATACTTACAAACTTACGCATTTATAATATTAATAAAATGAACTACAGTCAAACTCGAAATTATCATAAACTAGCTACTCACTCCGGCTTTGCACGGGTGTACATACATTATACATAGGAACCTTCCTCTTGAATCAGTCTGTCTATTGCTAAAAACTGCATTAAAATCCGTTCAAATTCAAAGTCAATTTAAAACCACAAATTATTATTAGTCGCTTATGAACGTCAAATTTTTTAAACAACAGACAGACAGACAAAAATTGTAAAAAATGTTATTTTGGTATATGTTCCGTATATATATGCATGTAGTAAAAACGGTTATTTCAATATTACAAACAGACACTCCAATTTTATTTATATGTATAATCTATACACTATATATTTCACGCTGAATCCACTATACATTTAAACATTTACTTATGAGTATTTTTTTTATTTAACAAACATTTATACTTGTATGCATAAAAAATTTATTGTATCACAAAATTGTGTGATATGTAAAAACCTCTAATAAAAAGAAATTTCAGAAAGTTTCATTTTAACTACGTTGACTATTAAAAAAAAACTATTATTGTCTACACAGGGGTCGCACATATTAAAAAAAAAATGGGGATCCAAAATGAAGGTGGTTGCGCACCACTGCTCTAGAGGACTGAGACAGCATGCCTTGTATTCTGTAATTTTAACCTATTTAGAATGGAGAAAGGATCTCCTTGATGTGAATTTATGGACTGCGAAGGGAAATCAGTAGAAATACAAATAATCTTTATTCAAATAAACTCATTACAAGCACTTTTGAATAGTCATTTTGATTATACCACTCATTCGGAATGCAGATTCATCACAAGAAGAATGAGCAAGAAACTTGTGTGTTGCTCTTTTTAATAGATGTTTTTTTATATAAATAATTACAGTATAACAAGTAAGAGGCATGCGATAATCAACATAGAAATCGCTACGCACTCATTATTAGTGTAATCAGATAATATTGTCAGTGCTATGGATTTAAAGTTTTTCTATAAAAACATTATTATCGTTAACGAATTCTTCAATTTTATAGTATATATCAGTATATGATATAGTCATTATTTATAGGTATTTTAATCCACTTACTTGTATACCTATAACAGTGTAGTGTATATTGATTCGGATTATACATTTGAATCATGAAATCAATTATTTTTATTCATGTAGATCTATTACTGACTTTTATAAAGTCAAATCTACCGTTCAGAGAGCTCTCTAAGAACTGACAAGAAACTCAGGTATTATTTTCAAATGATCTTGTATATCATTACAAAAATATAGATTCATTACTAAATTCATATTTGGGAGAATAGAGTGACCTCCAGGATATGCTCTTGCAATTTTGTCAACAGAATTGAGTCTAATCAGAGTTCGTAACCCGAACAGACCAGTCCTAGCAACACCCGTTTACAAGTATGACAGATAGGCCAATCATTGCACTCAATATTAGAAGGACCACTTTAACCTGGCCTACCACGCCGCCTCGAGTTTGAACTTTATAGCGAGAATGACTATTCCAAGTTATTACTACATTTAGTCATACTTAAGGTCTCTCTTAAGGTGAAGATTAGTAGGTGGCTTACGACAATTCAAAACAAGTCTATCAGTAAGATGTAACTATTAATGTTCCTAAAATAAATAAATAAATCTTACCACATCCATTTTCCCGATATCGAACCCCAACTCCCGTATCGGTATCTCGTACATGTATGTCAGTATGTCGCCCAACGGACGCAGTTTCTGCGGCGTGAGCTGCTTCAGTCCAGCGTGGAGGAGCCTTCTCGCCGCTTTATGGTACACTGTACCGGGCTTGTTGTATTTCATAGCGTTATTACACATTAATTTGAAGTCACTCTGTAGACAAAGTTATTACATTAATAATAATAATAATAATTTCTCTCCCTGGGGCCCTGAACCCCGGCCGACTGTGCTTCTGCCGGGGGTATGTTGCCATCTCCTCTCCTTAAGAGAAGAGATGAGAATTTTTGGGAAAAAAAAAAAAAAAAAATTTTATTTTGCATCCAATATTTACAATTTAAATTGTTCCCTGGTACCTAAACTAAGTAGAAACTTGTATGTTAGGTACCAGTTCCCTCCTCTTACAATTCACAATGTTTGGAATTACAATTTATAAAAAGACAATTAAATAATTTATACATACATATTATAAAACAAAGTCGCTTACGCTGTTTGTTTGCTTATATCTTTTAAATTAAGCAACAGATTTTAATGCAGTCCTCAACAATAGACGCGAGTGATTCCAGAGCAAGATTTAGTATCGGCGTCTTCTATACATATAATATATGTTATAGTATACTTAACTAACAAACGTGCATGGCAATAGTTGATCATGTGCGGGATTTTCATTTAATGTTAGACAGACCTATATAAATAACCTTCGATTTGATTTATAGAACGAGCCGAGAAATTCAAAGGTGTTTAATGGATGTATTATGTAGTATATTAATAGGATGTAGTATTGCGAAGCTGGGACGGGTGGTTCGTAAGATTTATTTTATTTATTTGTACATTTTATTACACCGTGCATATTTAAATATACAGACAAGTATTATTATTAAATGTTTAAATAAAGAATTGACAACTGTTGCGGGTAATAATACTATATTGTTGGTCGAGATGATGTATATTACAGATGATAATAGACTGACAATATGTACATAGATATAATGATCTTATATACTAAATAACAATAGGAAAATGTAAGGTGGGGTGACACAGTTTAGACACAGCAGTGCCTAGTAGACAATATTGAATTTGTCTTACTAGACATTATTAAATGCAATTATTATTTTAATATATCTAGGTAACTGTGTCCCATAACAACCTTTCGATAGAAGATAAAGATATGACAAGCACAGGAGAGTATGTGGTGCACATAACAACACAGATGTGCGTGTAATGTTTCTTTTATTCATTTAATATATTTTTATACATAATTTTCGAAACAATATTATTATTCTGCTCTCCTTCTCTCTATCTTCTCTCCTCCTTATATAAACTACACGTGTGCAATATTTCATACTCTCCCGTCCGCTGAAGTTTCGTAAAAAGGGGTACGAAGTTTTTGCTTCGCTTATTAATATATACGTAAAAATACTTACAATAAAACAATTAAGTGATTTATAATCATTGTCATCTATCTTCTGTTTTATGCTGGAGAAATCCATAGGCCTCTTGATGATTGTGGAGTAGCCTGGCGCAAAGTTATCATTCACCGGCCACGCGAAGAACTGGTGAGGGTCCCGCTTCTCCAGATTTCGTAGCAGCTGTTCCAGGAGCCGCGACAGTGGACGCCGTTTCTGACTTGCCTGTACAAGGTGAAAAAAATGAACTTTTGTATATACTCAACATAGAATAATGACAAATAAATACTGTTTAATGTGTTTTTTTGGATGTTGTTCACTGGAAAGGCCAGTGTAAACCGTTAGCACAGACGAGTGTACTGCGGTAACGGCTTACGCTGGTGCGACACGAGTGGAGGATGATCGAGAACATGCGGTCAGGTCAATTAGCCACCAATTTTTCATGGTTTCCAGAGGGAACCATATGTAGGTCAACCTGGTACATTGCTAGCTATGGGGTCAAAAGTCCTTATTCTCCCTCCTATATTGAGTTATTGTATGAGTATATATCATAGTTCCACAGATTATTAATACCTTCAATACACAAGAACGAGGTTCTCTGTGCGATGCGGGGGAGTTTGGTCCTGGACTCAATCGTCGAATCAGCTTTTTGGCCAACCCCTCGTCATCAGTCTCATCATCATCAGACAATTTTATCTGCAAACAAGTGACTCGATGACAAATTAACACTAACGGTCACAACAATAAGGTTGCAAATGAAAATTCAATTTTATGGATGTTGAAAAGGCTAACAATATTGAAATGAATATGAAATAAGAAGGTTATGTGAAAATAATAAATATACATATGGTTAGACTATTAAAAAAGGTTAGTTATAAATGTATACCAAGTTTAGATATAGTACTCGAGGAACTGAAATAAATTCCCTAACAAAAATAAAATGAAAAATTTTAATGATTTTTATAGTAATATTTAAACCACTATGGTGGCCATATGAGTTTAGGGCAAAACTAATGGTACACTAACACCATAGATACTAATGGACGCCAGAAACACCAGGGGTATCAAATGCAATATTTTTTCAGGCCTTAAGTTATAAATCTTATACCCCTCTAAAAATTCCCATGCTGTAGTCTCTATAGGGTAACATCAATTTAGTATGAAAATTTAAAGTTACAATAACAATAAGAACCAATAGTCCCAGACTAAAGAGAACCTATGTTATGGGTACTGGACAATTGATACAAATATTTAATTTTTTTTTTGTAAATACATATGTAAGATAAAAATAAAAGCACCCAGACTAATACAAAAGAATATACTCAATATACTCAAGAATACAAAAGATCTATACTGTGAGTGGAATAAAATGAGGTCAAAAATCTGATTTAGAAAGAAAATATTGATTGATTGATTTCAACTTTCTTACAACACTCTTTATTTCACTCTTTATTTTGCTTTTAGCTTGGTATACCATTTATGACTAAGTTTGAATGAAGAAATTAATTATGATAAATATGAGTTAAAAAAAAAACTAGATGATGATAGAATGTAATGATCACATGAGAGACCTCTGTGTATTTTATAAAAAAAACATAATATAATTTATTCTAAAATAATCCTAAAATAAATTATATTAAAATGATAATTTATACAATTTTTAAAAGGTTGTTAGCAAAAAAAAGCAAATAAAAAAATGCTTGTGTTTTTCACTACTACTTGCTGTGTCTAGGTAAAAAAAAGAATAGAAATATTGAAATAAACTTAATATAAGTAAACACATTTTTAAATAACATTTAAAAGAGCAACACACAAGTTTCTTCTTGTGATGAGACAGCTTTCCGAATGAGCGGTAGATAAAAAAAAATATTATGACTATTCAAAGGTGTCTAAATTAAGTTTATTTGAATAAATTATTTTCTATTCCATTCTATTTATTTTTTATTCCTGGTGGTCATAACCCTGAGAGAAATCTACAAAGATTTTTTATTCTACCATTCATTTGGTTGCAGATTCAACTAATAATGAGAAAAAATCTAGCTCAGTTAAATTAATGTTATACAACTTAAACATTTATGTATTTTTAATTGGATTAGTTGTTATTTTAAAGAAATCCATTTCATTACTTAATAGATTTATATTATTTTGTTTAATACCATATGGTGGTCAAGTTTCTGCACTGAATAGTTGTGGTCACACATATGTTAATAATAGTGTATTTTCTTTTTCTTCAGTGTCCATCTTGCAATTAGGTATATTATTTTGTTTAATTCTGCTACCATTTAGCCTGTGTGAGACCATACGGTGGTCAGGTTTTCGCACTGAATATTTGTGGTCTCAAGTTTCTGCACTAAATATTATATTATACATGCTAATAGTAGTGTAATTGTTTTTTGTTCTTCAGTATCCATCTTGCAATCAGTCAAGACTATGAACAGTTGCGGGTAGACTGTGATTACCAGTACAATTAAGTAGAATAATTGTTTCTTCAGATGAAATAAACAAAATATAATAAATTCATTAAGTAATTAAATTTTTATTTAACTTCAATGCGCACAATATACAAAATATAGTACAGTACATTTGGCGGACTTAACACCATGCTGCATTTTCTACCAGGCAACAATAGGTGGTGCAGAGAATAATTTTGGCCGTGCAAATATATAAAATAATCATGAATTCTGAGTAACATATCTATACTAATATTATAAATAGGTAGTGTGTCAGAGACAAAAGATGTTCAAATAATTCTATTCCTACTACTGATTCAATATAGAAACACTTTTAATGTTAGATAGGCAATCTAACAAGGATATAGGATATAGGCTATAGCACAACATGTAACAACCAATAGAAATTTTGTAAAACCGGGTAAAATGCAGAGGATGATAAGCGGGATATCTAGTTAAATATATATATATCAGTCACTACACTATTGTAAATATCGTTGTTTCTATGTTCTTATTTAATAGTAAAAAGATTTTGGCATTTTACTGTGATAAATACTTCATGCCTATACTACGTACCATATCTATTTCACGGCGTCTCCGCTTCTTCTTCTTCGGCTTGTCATCGGTATCTTTGTGTTCATCATTGGCAGAATGTTCCAAGTCGCTTACATCTAATATCTCTTCTTCTAGAACAAGGGGTGAGGTGATAGTAATTATTTTAAATTAAATTAATGTATTACGGCAAAATTGTTTACACGATTTAATGGAGACAATTGAATCAACTCACTACAACTCAGCTTTTCTATATCGTCCATAATTCTTTCTGTATTCTATTCAGTGTAAAAAAATAATAATATTCGTTAATTCCTATCTAAATATATAAATATTGTTTGATCAAACATTAGTTTCAGTTTACCGAACAACAATCGGATTCTGATTTTTTTATTAATATGTGTTACGGCTCTGGATTACCGACCAGTGTTGCCAAAATTTAGATGTTTTTTCCTCGTACGAAGGAGCTAGAGTGATTATGGGATTTCTTGACACGGGCAGTTTCTTGACTGATTAATATTATTAAATGATTTCATGAATTTAAAACAATTAGATATCTATTAATACACAAAGATTCAAATTCTGTACAGTATGGCGTACAAAATTTGAATCTTTGTGACATTATTAGAAAGAAATAATTCAATGGTCTGTGAAATATTGAGATGTTAATTGTTGCATTCATGGTAAATGCAGTAAAAACCCCCTTTAAGTAAAAAAAAAGGAAACGAAACTTTAAAAAATAAGAGAGATATTAATTATAATTGCTATGTAGCAATAGGTAATGTGATTTTAATAAACATTGTGATTTAGATAAAATATACATAAAATAGAAAAAGGTTTCTTATAAGAGAAAACTCTGAATAGATGATTGAGACAATAACAATAAAATGCCTTTAACAAATTTTTGCTCTATAATTATAACCTTAATAGAAGGGTAAAAAATCGTATACTAGTAACACCGGGCATTTGACAGCTCAAAAATACTGACGCAAAATTTGATTGGTGAAGAACATATCGCCTGCTGTCAATGATCGTAATTGACCAATCAAAGTTGTTACTTTTAAAATGTGAGTGGATACTATGTTTTGTTGTTTTAATAACCAATCAGTTTCTTACGTTAAAACCATTTCGCTTCGTTTTAAGCAGTAATTATGCAGTATGAAATACAATTTAGTATTCTTAGATATTTTGATACTTTTCTTTTATTTCATTTTTGTCACACTAACTGAAGTAGTTTATTGTATAAATGAATATGTAATGATAATATCTCGTCATGCTGATGAATTTGCCACAACGGGGATAGGTCAATAGGTCTGAATCATTACGTCAACTTTCACTAGCACCCAAATATTTTTCCGGATGATAATGGAATGGTGCACCCGCCTGCACTAACGGTATCCGCTGGCGGGGCACCAGTGGAAGACGATAAGATGAACACGAGGTTAGGGCAGTAGTTCATTATGACAAATTCACCAGGAATTTATCACGATGGTTATGAGTCCAAATTACTGACAATCCCATTCCCTCGGCGCCTACATTTCATCATATCATAGATACTGATTAGACTAATACTTATAGCAGTCTAGTAAGTACCAATATTGTTCAAGAAAAAAACAGGAATATATCTTTATATATAAAAATTACGTGTCACGTTATTTGTCCGCGATCGACTCCTAAACTACTGAACCGATTACAAATTTGATTTGCACATTGTGTGCAATTTGATCCAACTTGATCCAGCTTATATGGGACACAGTTACCTAGATACATCAAAATAATAATTGCATTTAATAATGGCTAGTAAGACATTCAATATTGTCTACTAAGCACTGCTGTGTCTAAACTGTGTCACCTTACATTTTCCTATTGTCATTTAGTATATAAGATCAATATTTTTATGTACATACTGTCAGTCAATTATCATCTGTAATATACATCGTCTCAACCAACAACATCGTATCATTTACCCGCAACAGCTTACATCTCAATTTATAGTCGCAATATTATTTTATTCAAGAACCTTAGCCACAGCAACGCGTGGCCGGGACTGCTATTATATATACCTGCTTATTCAAATTCAAAAATCATTTATTCATGTAGGACATTTTAGCCGCTTATGAACGTAAAGTTTTTACATTATAATTTTTTTTCCCTACCGTCCAGTTCGGTATATAGATCCAATTGAGAAGAACTGGCAAGAAACTCAATTGAATTACTTTTTATTTTTTAATCCAGTTTATTTACAATATATATATATGTCTTTGTCTAACATTCAATGAAAATCCCGAACATGAAAACTATTGCCATGCACGGTCGTCATTCAAGTAATCGTGTGAGTAATCGTCTCTCATCGTTTTGAATATATATATATTAATATATATATATATAACTTATATATATATATATATATATATATATAAGTAGGTACTTTTATACACGATTACTACGCTCCAAATGGTTCCAAATGCATCGTCCATTCAGCAAAAGATAATAAAAAAGTAAAGTAATGCGATTACTGGCCAGTAAGCGAATTAATTCGCTTTGTGCCACTCTGTCGACTCTATTTAGCAATTGGAGCGGCTATTAGCATAATTATTATAATCAAAACGGCTCAGTAATTTTATGTTAACAATAAAAATTTATACTGATAATATTGAAACACTAGCTGACTCCACAAACGTTGTTTTGCCATATAAATTAAAATCGCTATTAATAAATAGGGGCTGGTGATAGAAGGGTGAAAATTTAGGGTTGTATATATTTTTAATCCCATATTATTTTATAACATGGCATTAAAGATATATACAAAATACAAAAAAAAAATATGTCCAAAAAATAAAAATTAAATGTTTGGGGTGAACAACCCTTATCACTTAGGTGTATGAAAAATAGATAGTAGCCTATTTTCAGATCTACTGAATATGCATATAAAATTACATAAAAATCGGTCATCGCCATTCCGGAGGAGTATGTTACTTAACTAACATTATGATACGAGAATTTTATAAAGCCGATTTTGGCCGATATTGACTTTGTAAAAGATCCTTTATAAAAACATAGAACAGACATCCTTGCGGGTTCCCTGTGGTCTACAGGTTTAGCAGGCCACCTTCCTTCCGGTGGTCGCAGGTTCGATTCCTCGTACAGTTCAAACTACTATTTCCATTCACGACTATGATTATTTGTATCTGTCTGGGTGATTTCTTTGTTACATTAGTTGTCTAGTATCCATAACACGAGCTGTGCTTAGCTTGGGATAAAATAGCGGACGAGTAAATTGTTCAGGTTATCTATACATGAAGAAAAACATCATCGTATACGCAACAAAAAATTGTTATTATTATTATATAAATAGCTAATTTAACTTTATTTTCCTAAAATAAAAGTAGTCTAAGTTACTTCTTATTACATCAGCTAGCTGCTAAAAAAAGTCCTGTCAAAATCGGTCCAGCTATTTCAGAGGTTAGCCGGAACAAACAGACAGACAGACAAAAATTGTAAAAAATATCTTTTTTTGGCGGGCAGAAGTGTTCGCGAGCCGATATCTCTACAGAGATGTAGGTAATGAAAACTGTTCTGCTATAAATGATATTTGATAAGTAAAATCAAACATGGATTTAATAGTTATTCAAAAATTGTAAAAAAGATATTTTTTACAATTTTTGTCTGTCTTTCTGTTTAGTTTGGTATATGTGCCGTATTTATTCATATGCAGGTAGTAAAAATTATTATTACAATATTACAAACAGACACTCCAATTTTATTTACATGTATAGATCTGTAGATTTTCGTCACAGCAACCAATTACAGTCTTCTAGAAGTCGATCGAAACTTGATTAATTGGGTGCCACTAACAGAACCGGCCGCCAAAATATATGTAATTGCATTACGTCATATTAAATAACTACGAGAAAGTGCGTATGAGTGTATTTGTTGATAAACCATAACGTAACGTTAGTAGAAAGTTTGTGATAATAAAAAAATCAAACACTTATCCATGGTATTGTTAGTTTATGTGACACTAGCTGACCCCGCGACTTCGTCCGCGTGGAAATTAACTTTATTTCTCTAAAATAAATGTAGCCTAAGTTACATTAGCTTCATTTTTATTTAAATGTGTAACGTGGGTGAAATCGCGGACACAACTAGTAATGAATAAACTAATCTATACATCTATACATATAAATAGAATTGGAGTGTCTGTTTGTAATATTGAAATAACCGTTTTTTACTACATGCATATGAATGTAAATATGGTACATACACCAAAATCTCAGTTTTTAAAATTTTTCTCTCTTGTCTGTCTGTCGGTCTGTTTGTTCCGGCTAATCTCTGAAATGGCTAGACTGATTTTGACGGGACATTTTTGGCAGGTAGCTGATATAATAAGGAGTAACTTAGGCTACTTTTATATTAGAAAAATCAACTTAAATTCCACGCGGACGTAGTCGCGGGATTAGCTTAATAAATAACTATTAAAACCATGTTTGATGAAAAATTCTTTTATTTCAAAAAAGAATTTTTTAAATTCCACGCGGACGTAGTCGCGGGAACAGCTAGTAATAAATAACTATTAAAACCATGTTTGATTTTACTTATCAAATATCATTTATAGCAGAACAGTTTTCATTACCTACATCTCTGTGGAGATATCGGCTCGCGAACACTTCTGCCCGTCAATTAATTTCGAGATGCTTCGTTTTCGAGATAACTGCAGTAACTGTTATAAGACTGTTTCTTACAATAATAGTTCAGTTTCTATTACAGTTAACATTAGATTATAAACTACCTACCCGCCCCGTTTGGGGCGATGACGGGGCACCAGTGGAGGGTGATAAGATGAACATGAGGTCAGGTCAGTTAGCCCATCGTGACAAATTCATCAGGAATTTACAACGATGGTTTCCAGGGGGTACCGCGTGGAGGTCAACCTGACATGGTACATTGCTAGCAATAGGATCATCAGTTCACATTACTAACAATCCTCTTTACCTCCTATATAGCTATTTTTTTATAGATGACTAGCTGTCCCGGCAAACGTTATTTTGCCATAAATTAAAAAAAAATTTAGAGGTGGACTACCCCTAACATTTAGGGGGATGAAAAATAGATGTTGACTGATTCTCAGACCTACTCAATACGCTCACAAAATTTCATGAGAATCGGTCAAGCCGTTTCGGAGGAGTTTGGGAACGAAAACTGTGACACAAGAATTTTATAGATAAGGTAATGGAATGGTGCACCCGCCTGCGCTAACGGTTTACGCTGGCGGGGCACCAGTGGAGGATGATAAGATGAGCATGAGGTCAGGTCAGTTACCCCATCGTGACAAATCCACCAAGAATATATCACGATAGTAATATGGCC